AGTAGGCGTGTCCAGCTGTCCTTGTGTAGCCTCCGTTCGGCACCTGTGTGAAGGGTGTGGAGGAGGATGTTGTGGTGGACTGCTGTTGGACATACCATGGTGTTTGCAGGATGAGGATGCCCTTTTCCATGGCTTCTCCCAGTGGGTGCTCTGGGACTTGTGTCTGTTGCCATGGTAACGGCTCTGTCCTCCGCTGGCTAGTGGCTTTCTGTAGAAGGGCCTTGCATTGTGGCAATGCTGGGTGCCTTCTGGTGCCCGCTTTGGATTCTGAGTTGTGAAGTTCGGAATCAGCAGCGATCAGTCCATGTTCAGACTCTGGGTCTGAGAATTCCTTTGTGATGGCTTGTTTACACTGCTCATGAGGCTGCAGGATCAGTTGCTTTGATGTCCTCAGGATCTCTGCAGTATTTAGGTTGCCAGATGTATTGTCACTGGCCAGCTCATTGGGGTCTGTGGGGTCACACGGTGTGTGTGTCTGCAGTGATCCTCTGGAAGGGTCCCTGCCCCACCCCCTTGTGGCTGCTGGTTGGTGACATGTGAACAGTGGGCTCTCGCCCCCCCGCAGGTTCAGAATCTTGGCTGAGGGGGTCTGGGCCTGTTTGCCAGGGGAAGTTCTGTTTCGTGTTTTCCCTGTCTGTTCATTGTGGTCTGCAAGCATATTCCAGTTCATTTGTGACATTGAATTCACCTCGGGCTGCTTGCAGGTGGCATTCACATGCGTTTTTTCGGTTCGTCTGAATTAAACTTTTTAGTTTTCTTCTGCAGCTGCAGAGGTTTTCAGGGTTTTCAGGGAGCTGACTTGTGAAGTGTCAAGCAGAAGGCTTTGACTCCCTCCCCCCCCCCTTCGTAGCTGTGCACAGGCATGGAGGGGCTTGCACTGCTGGTGATGTGATGTTCAGCAGGCTGTCTTTTGCTTGAGTCTATGCGCAGTCGGTAGGACTGTTTCAATTCTTTCTGAACCATGTCAAGCTCCTCTTTAATTGCTGAGTCAGGGTTTGGACCTCAGCTCTGGTTGCATGCAGATGGCATTCTAAGGCCTTAGATTTGGTGTCTCTCTCATTTAGTTCCACATATGCTGTTTTTAACAGTGACTTTGTGTGAAACAGTTCTCTTTCCAAGTCCTGTCTGATGGCTTTTTCCAGCGGCGCTTGGTGTCCAGCAGCTGTTAGAGCCTCCTGAAGACTGGTGATTTCCTTCTGTTGCACCATTCTGTGAGGTTCTTTGCATCCGTTCTGTGCTTTCTCTCATTGAGCAGGTGTCAGTTCTCTGTAGAACTCTGTGACTTGCAGTTTCAGCTCATTTACCTCCTGTCTGAGGCCCTTGAGGGTGTGGGCCGAGGAGAGGATGATGCTGGTCAGGTCCTGGTGGTTCAGGCTGGGTGTCAGGTGTTTGGTTTGAAAGTTACACTTTACACACCTATCTAAGTGTTAGTCGGATGCTAATTGCTAGCAATTGAGGTAAAGGGCTTTGCTTAAATGCCTGTGCGGCTGCTAAAGAGTTAGCGTTGGCTACACGCAGTTCTTTGTTTACACAAAGGTCTGTGAAGTGGGTGCTGTTGTCAGATTAACTGGAAGAGTCTGCTCACACTTCCGGGGTCACGTGTTGCTAGGAGACCAATGCACACTCACACCAGGTGCAAGGGGAGCAGAACTTGCACTGCTGTGAACATGCATGGGAAACTCATGCGG